GTAACAGACTATGAACTAAAATATAAATATAGTCTCCTAACCTTATCGCTGTACATTTCTATTGTGGTGGACGAGCACCGAATTGAAATCTCTAGCGTGACCGGTTCTGGTGATATAGTTGTGGATAGACTTGGTATGAATAGCGGCTAAACCTCTTCGATATATCGATCTTGTATTGAAGTATTGATATGCTTTAAAAGATCTGTGTTCACCATTTCAAGACTGGACAGTCTCGTATAAACTTTAATTATATTGCGGTAACCACTGAGTATTTTTACACATACATTTTATATTGTTGTCGTACTCGTACGTCAATTTAATCTTCGTGGTGAATAAACTTTCCGAATGAGTCAGATGAGGCAAAAAATATGAGTCAATAAGAGAAGAGAATTTGGCCTTTTTCGACCAATCAGAACTTCAAATATTGCGCAAATAAGGCAGACCCCCACAAAGATGAAGCAAAAAAGTTCTTTATATAAAGAATACTAATAAGGCAGTATCTATTGTTGTCGTCTCCTCATTAGTATTTTTTATATAAAGAATACTAATAAGGCGGAATATCTATTGAAATTGTATCGTCGTGTTTGAAGTCGTTTAATAAACTCGCAGGTCGTGTTTTACTGATTAGTCTAAAGCCACTCGCGTTGCGCGCTCGTGTCTTTAAACCTAATAAAACACCCCTGCTCGTTTATTAAACAGCACATAAAATTGCCTTTTAAAAACACGGGCGCTGATTTGTAAAAAGCTAAAAATCCACGTTTCTATGAACTGGATAGAAACACAGAAATTTTCACGTGGGTTGCGTGAATTGCGCGGGAGTTTAAAAGACAAAATAGAAAAAATATTTAACTTCTTCAAAGCTAATATACATAATAACTAAAGTAACAACTTTTGATTACACCTTAGTTTAATTTGCGATTTAATTTTAGATGACAGATCCAATTTAAGTACAGCTGCATGTTAAGAAAAATTTTACAAGCATATATTTGGCAATAATTATTTTTACAATAGAAGCATGTGGGAAGCATGAAATAAAGATAATGAACGTAAAAGGCAATTATTTGTTGGCGGCATTCAGTGCAATCGAACGTTATAAGCGCAAACTCTAGTAAGAACATGTTCTCGATTAAACGTTTGTTTTTAAAAAAATAGAACACTAGGTTTATAAGTATATCTTAAAAGTAGTATAGGGAACACAGAATTATACAATGTTGAAATGTAAAACAGGCTTTAGAAGTACCGGCCAGCTAACTTAAAAGACAACTGTTGTTCTGTAGTCAGCATCAGCTTCTCCACTCCCCTGTGGTAACTGGTCGAATTAACTCTAACTGGTTGATTTCTTTCAAACAGTAAGCCAGATTTTCACGCGAGAAATCTTCCTTGTGGTTGAAAATCGATAGAATTTTTTCAGCTCGAGAACAATTATTATTGTATAGTATGTTATCTCGAATGTCGTTTCTGTCTGCTCTGGGTATATCCATAAGACCAGCAAGAGTGTCCCACTCGACTTCAATGTGCCGACTAAGTCTGCACATTTCCCGAGAGGAGAGACGTGTGTATCGTAACTGGATGTTTCCAGCGTTCCTGTGTACAGAAATTTCACTTTGCGATGGTTGTGTTTTTTTTTCATTAGTTCCATTCTGCTCAAAGAAAAACAATATTTTATTAGACTTATTAATATTTTCTATACCAACAGCTAGGACAATGAATTTCGAACGCTTAAAACTTCTATAAGTAGTTAATGGTGGTTAATAGCATTTCAGTTGTTAAATTTAAAAATTGCAACCATGACTTTATACTAACGTAACTGTGTATACTGCCTTACTACAGTTAAGCAGTGTCCCAGAAAATTGCCCCGCTCTCCACAATATATTCTCCTCTAGATCTCTGGTACAACTCCCCCCCCCCCTTTGGCTAATTTTTACAAGGATTGAAATCTCGATGACCAGGACAATAAATTACTAGTTTGAAAGAAAAATGTAGACGTTCTTTCTTAAAACACTTCTTTTATTTCCTTTACGAGAAAGCAAATGGTTGTTTGTTTTAATAATCAAAGCCAAGGTATTGATATGAAATTATATTAGTTACGCCATCCAATATAAAAACCTAAAAATTCGGTCTAATAAAGCCAGCGTAATAAAACTACAAAATGTTATGGGGTATTACAGCCTGATTAACTCTAATATTTATTATTGGTGTGCAATATTCATGTCTGTTTTTCCTACATTATACATTTATGAACTCACATGGGTACGTATGGCGGGATGTACTCGGTTTCTAATCATAGTAAAATAAATAAACAACGAAGCATAGTTATTTTGCAGTTTTAAACTTTCTTGCCTGAACAGCCGTATAACTATACGACTTTCACGTCATTTTAACTTGAAAGTCGTATAACTATACGGCTGTTTACGTAATTCAGCTAATACGTACTTATAAAAAGTGAAATTGAACAAAGAGAATACATGGGTGTTGTAGTTCCTAATCAAGAATGTTTCTGGATTTATGTCGTTATATTTATATCATAGATATCTTA